CAAAGACATATAACACTACCAAACTCAAACACTACTACAACTAAGTCTATTTCCCACTTTATTACATTAGTATAAATATCTACATTGTAACACTTTATATTCTTTCAAATATAATTGTTTATTTCAAGAGTTTCATTTCTTTATATCAAAAAACTAAACTAAACATAATATTTTTAAAATATAAATATAAAATGTTCTTACAAAATAAACAGGTCAAAGACGACGAAAACGATGAAACACGAACGAACATAACCACCGCGGTCGAAGACGACGACCAAAAACGGTGGAAACACGAACGGAAACCACCGCGGTCGAAGACGACGACCGGAAACGGCGGTCGAAGAACCTTCATGAACGAAAACGTCGATGATGGTGGCTGGGAAACGGCGGTGGTAACGTTTGTGAAACAGCGGTCGTAAGGGTCGTATGCGTACAGTGGAAAGGAGTGAAACGATGGCTACGAAATATTGTATAGTGGAAATATTGAAATATTTTGAATTTGGGAAATAAGGGTTTGGAAGCTATTACCTCGGTGGAAATGAATACCCGATGTAAGGGTTGACTTAGTGGAGAAGCTATTACATCGGTGGATCCTAATAACCATGTAAGGGTTTTGAACCTATTACATCGGTGGATACTAATACCCGATGCAAGCTTTTTTTCTGACTTTTTTACATCGGTTTAAACTTCCACCGATATAATATGTTGTGAAGATATTAATTTATTTTTTATATTAATATTTGTTGTGAAGATATTAATTTATTTTTTATATTAATATTTGTTGTGAAGATATTACATCGGTTTTTAGTTAACCGATGTAATATGTTGCATGTTTTTTATTAATATTTCTACTACCTTGTTTCTTATTTACAAAAATGCCACCGTATTTTTTTCTGAAAATTTTTTACATCGGTGGATGCGTTTGCCCGATGTAATAGGTAGCGAAATATATTTTTTTTCTTATTTTTTATATCATTGCAAATAAATACCTGATGTAAAAAGTTTGTTAATTATATTTTTTACATCATATATTTTGATACCCGATATAAAAAACTTTTCTCAAATGTCTTTTTTTTAGTAGTGGTAAACTTAAAACAAAAATTAATCCATAGGCTCAACCTCTATTTTCTTTGTATTCCTCCAATCGAATAGTCAATTTTTAGATAAAATCAAGAACAAAATTAATGAAAACATAGTGTAAAAACTAAAACAAATGAATACAAACTATCTAAAATTAACGGTTAAATTTTTTACTTAAACTGCCTAAAATTCTTGACTCACCACTAAATTAATCTATGTAGCAAACACCACTTAATAAGATAAGACTTAATTGTTATTATAATAAACCTAAAACAAAAACTTTGTCCAAAACTATATTATATTTGAAGAGACCTGACATAGCCATTGTATTGGAGGTTTTAACTTGCCTTCTCCAAAATTGAACTTGGCAACCCTATTTTTCCATAATTCTCAAATTGTCTATGGACAAATTTGAGTGGTGGCAAGAACAAAGTTTTTGATAGATTATTTAAAATTTTCAGTAACATATCAATTTGGCAGTAATTCATTTTTAAATTGTTGATATATACTTTTTTATTTTTTTTAACATTATTAAAAATTTCGAAAAGTGATGTAATTTATCGAAAATTTTAAAATTTTCGATAATGTATAACAAATTTTTTTTAAAATATAAACTATTGATTTTTTTTGAGAATTTCAATATTTTTTTCAACACACAAAAATAAATTTAAAAAAAAAAAATATAAGAGCATAAAAATAGTAGCAACCATTATAGAGAATGTCGGATTGATGTTTTTCGATGACAAATTAAAAACATCATTATATTGACATCATCCAACATATTTGTTTCGTATTATTTTCAATGTGAACTGTTTCTGCCAAAAGTGAAAGACGAAAATAAGAAAACATAAATAATCATCATTATCATTTAGAACACATTATAATGGAGTTTGGTAGATTCTTGAATTAATCTAATTTTGGTCCAACTTATTGGCAACAAATGTTTAAGTCACAATTTCATTTTTTCTTTCCTTTTGTTACTTGCTACCATTTAAGACCAAATCCTTGTGTATTGTTTCCCATGTTGAATCCTAAATGTGGTTTTTTCTTTGTGATTCTACAATAGAGGCAGTGTAGACTAATCCATAAATCTTAATAAGAATTTTGAATCCTCTTTAGTGTCATAATGCCTAACCTTGTTAATTAACTGCTGTGTTGAATAATGTAGTTTGATGATATAAGAAATGTTTTAATTTCCACACAAACTTGGGCTGATAAACTAACAAGGAATTTAAACTTTTTATGTCATTTAGTCCACATTACCCAAAATTTTAGAATTTTTAATGGTTTGTTATAGATAGGACTACTAAAAAAAAATTGTCGAATTAAATTGAACAATATTAAAGTTAAAAAATTCGGCCGAACCATATTATACAAACAATTTTAAAATTGAATTAAATATCTCAAATAAATTAAATCAAAAATGAAATTGAACCGAATTAAAATTGAAAAATACGAAAAATAAATTTAAAATTTTTATTAAGGAAATTTTGAAAAAATATATACATTCGAATATTTAACAAATGGTTAGGTTCGAGAAAAACTTTTTTTTTACGATTTGGTACCGTTAAAATTCTTAATCGGCATATTAAACAATAATTTAACTCGATTCTATTTTAAGTAAGTTCAAATAGTTTGGTTCGATTCAAATAATTTTTTTATTATAGTTTAATTTTGTTTGGTCAATATTTTAATTGAATTATATTCGTATATGAATAGTTCTAGTTTGTTGTATCAGCTGTTCTTTTTATTAAAAGAAATTATAAAAATAGCTTATTCAAAATCGATTTTACCATATAAATAAACCACTAGTCAAAACGTGTGCCTTAACTTATGATCCACAAGTACACAAAAGAAATTGAAAATGACTTATCTTACCAGCACATGAATCTGAGTGGAGCATGATATTCACAACTAATCAAAAACCCTTATTTACCTTTCAAACTTGCTTTTACAAAATCTCAATATTTGTTTGCATAAAGTCCTACATTTCATTCTACCGTGTGTTTTATGTTGCTATTTAAAGCAATTAAGAAACTTCTGGATTATGGTTTAATGATGTCATTAGAAAGATTGTAATGTAATTCATATAGTTGAAAAAATGTGACAAATATTTCATAGTGGAATTTGATATAATCATAGTGTATTATCAGTCTTAGTTTTGATTGTTGACATGTCACCAAAAGACAGCTTGAGTAGATTCTTTAATTTGTATGATATTAGCCATGGCACAAGTTATTTTCATAGTTTCATTCTTCCCACTAATGCTTGGGGTTGGTAAACAAATTGATATGATTATTTTTAGCCCAATCAAGATTGAGTCTTGTTCAAAGGATTGAAACTTGTGCTCTGTTTTTTTGTAATTTTTTTCTTTACTTTTTAAGGTACTTTTATTTTAAAATAATGTATGTACTTGTGTGATGCAAGGATATGAATTATGGGAGAAAGATTAAAAATTATTTGATGAAAAATTATAGTTTAATGAGTAATTAATTTTTTTTAAAATTAATTAATATAAAGAAATGAATGAAATAGTATCTAAGTGATAGATATTTATCTCTCTCTTTTGAGAAAAAATAATAATTTCGTTCGTATTTTATGATATGAGTCTTTTTTTATTATACAGAAATAAAAAAAAATAATAAGATAAAATAACTTCTTGAGATAGAAAGAGACCTTTAATTTTGTATTAACTAATATCTTAAAGAATTATGTTTAACTAATTAATCAACACATTCATTTTCTTTTCTCAAACTATGAGTGAAAATCAAGAGGATAAATGTTAAGGATAAGAGTTTGAACTATTCAATTTGTTACACAATTTTACATGTCAAAAAAATGTTATCAAAACAATCTTTCCATTTATTTACATGTGATACAAAACAATCTACTCAAACAATGAATCTATAACTTCAATATAACTACAACAAAATGATGCCACAATTTGGAAAACCTAACCCACAACACAAATCTGTTGATAAACAACATTTTTTCAACACAAGGCAGAAGTAAATGATACTAGTAGTCAATCAAATAATTAGGCATATTTTCAAATGAAAGTGTAAACTATGTAAATCAAAAAGGAAAATAATGCTATAAATAGAATAGAATATTCTTATGTTCTTCAATATTCCTTTGCTTCCTCTACAAGGCAACATGAAATGAGGTACAATTGTCCGGGACAAGGTGGAAAAACTTGTTTTCTCATCTCTAATGAGAATTTTGTTTCAACCATGTTTCTTACTCTACAAGATTCAAATTCGAGAATTTATTTAAAAAATTTAAGCCCAATTTTATTTAAACAAATACAATATTATTAGAAGAAAAATGTATCGGAAGAAGAGCCATCACTAAAAATTATTAGTCAAACGCGTATATGACTTGAACATGAGTTTATAAATAGGACAATTCTCATCTTATAAATCGGTTTTATAGAGTTGAGTTACGCTAAATCATAATTTATTAACATAGGATATCAAAAATTTAGTTTAAAATCTGATAGACTAACTGCTATCAGGTTTCTAATATAGAGTCGCCCACATCAAACAATATATGATATAAAAATACATGTTTATAATCGGAAATAATTATCATTATGACAGAGATAACATGTTTAAGATAATAATATTTGATAGTATAAGTATTCTTATGTAAATGTAACTATTTTTAAGAATATATTAGCTATGTGTACACAGTAAACAGAAACATCTTTCCCTAAAACAAAAAATGGAAATTCTAAAATGAAAACATCAAAATTCAAACTTCAAAAAAATGAAAAAACACCAAAAGAAAAACCAAAACATGTGTATTGTGATGTACAAGTAATATATTTTCTTTCTCCTAACTCTATCTATGATCACATTATATCATGGTAGAGAATCAAGGCTTAGTCTTTCTAACACTTTAAAAATTTCATCTTCTTATTGCTTCTCTTTGCTCTCCTTAGGTGAATACAAACCAGTTCCAAGAGTCTTATACAAAGCAGTGTCAGAGTAAACAGAACGAGACCTCATCAATGCCTGAATCTTTCGTCGACTACTACGACTTTTTCGACGAGTTCTCCGACCCTCTTCCTTTTCTTCATCCTTACTCTTCACAACACTTTTGTCACACACATTTAGTGACACATCACAATTTGTCACCTCACTTGGAGCCACATAAACAAAATGACCAATTGGAATGTCATTTAATTTCATGAGAGACTCTAACGTTTTAACAACGGTTCTCATTGTTGGTCTACTTTTGTCATGATGACTTAGACATTGGTATGTTAAGGATGCTAGTTTTCTTGCTCCTTCGATTGAGTATTGATCCTCGAGTCTTGAATCGATTATTCTTTCGAGTTTGTGTGAATCCTTCAATAATGGTCTTGCCCATTCTACTAAATCTTGTTCTCTTGATGGTCTTTTTTTGTCCACTGATTTTTTTCCTGTTAGTAGCTCTAAGAGAACTACTCCAAAGCTATACACATCACTCATCGTCGTCAAACGACCTAAAAAAAATTAGAATTAAGTTAATTCAAAAATAACATTCACGAGATGACAAGTTTAGTTGACTTAAAAAGTTTTTCTATAAAGTCAACTCCGTTATTTGAAAATTGGTTTTTATTTTCACAACTTTGTGATCACACGAAGTCATCTAAGTCTAAATTGTCGAATAAAATTAGATAGTTTATATTTCAAGTTCGGTCTAAATTTCAAAAGTCTAAATAAAACTCATTAATATTGATTAGAATACCTGTATTGATGTATTCGGGAGCGGCATAACCATGTGTACCCATCACGCGAGTCGTGATATGAGTTTGATCTTTATTTGGTCCATCGATTGCTAAACCGAAATCTGACAACTTAGCAATGAAATCCTGAAAAAGATGAAAGTGTTTTTATGTCACTTTATGTTTCTTCTATTTGATAAAAAAAATATTAATAAAAATACATGAATGAATGAATGAATACTTACAACATCTAATAGAATGTTTGAGGCTTTAACATCTCTATATATAACAGGTTTCTCTTCTTCATGAAGAAAAGCTAGTCCTTTAGCAGCACCAAGTGCTATTTTAATTCTTGTTAACCAAGGCAAAGTTGCTAAATAACCTGCATTTTAATATAAAGGATAATAATAATTAATAAAAAAATTTGTTAAAATTTTAATATTATTTAGAAGAAATTAAACATGTTTTTCACCTTTGAAAAGTTTTTCTTCTAAACTTCCTCTTTCCATATATTCATAGACAAGAAGTCTATGCTCATCTTCATAGCAATAACCAATTAAGTTAACAAGATTGCGATGCTTCAACTGCCCCAAAAATAGAACTTCAGCCTATACAACATAAAAAAATATATATATAATTAGAATTTTTACATCGTTTGAAGGTTTGATCGGTTGAACCAGACGAAGACAGGTTCAAGGTTTAATCGGTTGAACTGTCTGATTCGGTTTTTAAAACACTGATAATTATAAAAATGTTGAAAGGTTTAGAAAAGTTCTTACCAACCACTCTCTATGACCTTGTTTTCCATCCAAGTTCAAGGCTTTAACAGCAACAGCTTGAGGAGGAACAAGTGCAGGTCTAAGTTTATCATCAATGAAACCTTTGTAAACCTTTCCAAATCCACCTTCACCAAGAAAATTTGATTTGTTGAAGTTGTTTGTGATCTCTTTGAGTTCTTTGCAAGTGAAAATTTGAACATTTCCAACTAATGAATTGGATAAATCACTAATGACAGAAGGAGATGAATAATCACTTAAATCAGAAAGAGAGATTCTACTTGAACCTTGTTTTTTTGAAACAAGTTTTGGTGATTCCAAGGTAAGGTTTTTGTCTTTGAAACAACCAAGTACTAAGGTTTTCCATTGACTTTTTTTCTTTGAAGGCATTTTTTTGGTATAAAGTATTTGTGCCGGCTCAAAAATATTTTGGTTTGAGTTTGAGAGCTTTTTGAGGAGATGTAAAATTTGGTTTATAAGGCTAGCTTATATATAGATTATTACTAGACAAAGTCCTTAAAAGTTTCCTCATCATTTTATAAACAAAAAGACTTTGACAATAAAGCCATAAACCCTATTCCATTGGATTTAATTGGTGCTAACTATTATACTAAGTTTTACATAATTAATTAATTATAAAAGTTGGATGATAACTATTAAATGAGGATCAAAATGCAACCGAAAAGTCTAATTTTTTAAAAATCGATTAAATCGAGAATTAGAATGGAAATCGATTTGAATTCAGTATTGAGTTAGCCATGTAATTAAATGGACAAGAATCAGATAAAATTAGTAACGGAAGAGTTTTGACAAATTAGAAGTGTAAGTGCTTAAAAAAACTAATAAAATTTAAATTAGAAAACATTTTTTAATAAAATTTTTAAAAATAATAAAAAATATAAATATTTTGGTATCTTTATCTCATTTCGAAAAATAACTTTGATGTTTTTAATATTTTTTAAATATTATAATATATTTTAAAATTTTGAGTTCGTATTATTCAATTCAACTAGATTTATAATCTACACAAATTTTCTATTAACATCAAATTATATGATTCAATGATTCGATTTAATTCAAATAAGTAATATTGTTCAATTAAATAACTCTTTTGTTCCACCACTTAACTTTGTTTTTATAATGTTTTTATAACTAAAAGAGAGTATTTTTCATGATTTAATTTGTTGTAATTGTTTTAATGTATTATAAATTAAAATTCATATGGCGTGTTTGTTTCAAGTTAAAAAATGTCTTTTCTTAGAATCTTATTTTCAGGATTATTATTTCTAGGAATAACATTCCTATGAAAGTGTTTGGTCAAAAATTATATATCCCGTAAATCTTTATAAATTTTATTTAATTTACAATATGTAAAAATTAAAAAAAATGAATAAATATAAATATTATTGGAAAGTTATGATTAGTTGATCATTATTCTCATAAAAGTATTGGATTCCTATCTTCAAAGCATGAGAATAAACTTGAGAAATTTCATGTGTAACAATATTTTTGAGAATAAAAAATATCTGAGAATAATTTTTTTAATATTGAAACAAACGTGAGGTTGTTTCGTTTCCAATATCATATTCTCAATAATATATTTCTAATCCTTAAAATAAACACACCTATAGTGTATTAGAATTAAACTATATATTTAATTCACACTTGACATTTTGTTATCCATTTTCATTTTTTCCATGTTTTTGTATGAGCCATTGATATTGATAAGGTTTTCTTGCTTATGTCATATATTGCACGACTTGAGAGTCTTGCATACCCACTTCCTTCCACTTGTCCTCATTTCTAATAAAGTAATGTAAAAGTGCTAACTAGTTTTTATGTTGAATCTATCTCTTATTTTCTCTTGTTCTAAAATGGAGTATTATTTACTTAGTGGATCCATGTGGTTCAAATTAGTAATAGTTTAATTCCATTAGTTAATAAAGATAACAACTAAAAAGAACCTTCTTCATTAAGAATTCAGTGTGAATACCGTGGTAAAATTTTGAAGACACTAATTTCTCTAAGTAGATAAAAATGATTAATACACGGTTAAAATTTCACCCAATTTTGTTGATCATGTTCTACTTTAATTAGGGTTGAATATCTCTAATAAGACATTTAACATGTTATTTTAGGTACATTGAGTCTAGATTTTGAACTTTACAATTTTAAATCAAGATCACAAAATGGCAAAAGAATCTTGTATCATCTTATTCAAATGTTTTTAATCCTTCAAAGTTAAACATTTCATGTTAGAGATATTAGGTCACATATAATATGTAAGCATTTGCTTGGATTTTCGTTTGAAGAGCCTTTTTTTTACATCCCCATGCATTTTATATGTGAAAATGAAGAAGCTAAAATGAGTAATTGAGTAACTAGGTGGCTTGATAGTGAATTTTGTTAAAGAAATTATGTTAATTAGTCAAATGAAAGTGATTTTTTCCGTATGATATAAAAATATAATTGTCATGAAAAATATTGAATAAATATTGTTCTGTTCAGAAATAAGAAATATATGTATATGGAGAATTGATGATCTTGAAACGATGGTGTTGATCTCAGTCTCAACATTGTAGGATGGACTTGCATGGTTAGCACTCTAACACTCAAGTCAGTTTAAGATTCAAGATGAGTGTGGCGAAAAGTAGAGATCATGGAATATACCTTGTATTTCGTGTGAACTGATTTTATACCTTAGGTCAAGTGGAGTGGATTTGCGATGAATTAGGCCTTATCCATTTGGGCCTATGATCGGTCTAAAATAGTTGCCCCCAAGACTTTTTCGGCCACTAAAAAGTCGAGGAAAGCCTTAAGTGATGTTGGTCGGCCTCCATGATGTTGTCTGTTGTGAGATAGAACTGATATGTCTGGAATTCATAAAAAAAATAGTGGGGAACAAGCGCATTAAATTCCTTTCCATCATTGAAAATGTTTCTGTCTTTTCCTGACATGTGTGTTGATGTGACAGGTTAGGGAACGACGCGGTTTATAGTGCATTTGAGAGTGCTCGTGTTTGCGTGTATTCACAAGGGAAAATCTAGTTGTTGATCACATGACTTTTTTCCCTAGTTGATTTGAATCCTTCATATGGAGTTGCATATAAATATGAGGAGTTGATAATTTGGAAATTTTTGCAACCCTTGGCATTCAAACTTATGAGAACTTTTAAAAAAACGTCTTCGTTCCCTCTTTCTTGAGAGAATTAATCAAAAAGATCCACAGTGCTTTGCTAAAAGTCTTTTCTTTTCTTCCTCTTCTTTGCCTTACCAATATCTCACAGCTAGGTACCTTCCTTAACTCATTTTTCTTTCAACATTTCTCATTTTCTAGACAAGATGAGTGATAATTTTGCTAGTCTATTAAGTTATTCTGAGAGCGATACTTTTTCTGTTTTGAGGATGGGTATATTCCATGATTCTCATCTCCCTCCAATTGATCTAATGGTTCTGATTCATAAAAGATATCTTGGGATTCCCTAGAAGAAAGGGATTCTTCATCCAACTCATTATAGGCCCTTTTATCAAATATCGTTTGAGAGGTTAATCGTGTTGAGGTCCTTAAGCTCCCCTCCCATCTTAATCGAGGAGGAAACATAAGCCAACCGGAAGAGGAGAGAATGAACTAAGAACTATATTCAAATTTGTATGAGAACCAATAATTGTGAACCCATCGACGCTAAGGTGAAGGCCTACTTGGATCTTCAAGATCAACTGAGTGCAATGGAGAATGACTGGGTGCATGCAAAAGTAGTGGGCACTTCATCTATTTTGAGCACTGAGGCTGCCATTGATGTTACTAGAATCGTGGTCAGTGATCCCCAAGAATGGACGGCTCTTCCAGTGGGGCCAGAAAAGAGGATATGCAGTTTCTTTGGCGACTGTATGATCCCGCTCTACGAGTGTCGATTCACGAGAATAGGATTATGGTTGCCTTTTTGTGACTTTGAAGTAGCTGCCATGAAGCACTTAAAAGTGGCTCCCTCTCAGCTCCATCCAATATCTTGGGCTTACATGAGAGTATTTCAGTTGTGCATTAAATATAAGTCTCAGAAGCCTTCCCTTGAGTTGTTCTTTAGACTGTTCCATTTGGTGCATTCCTCCCAAGAAAACTTCCAAAACCAAGGGCTCAATAGCCTTTATCTGGATAATCCTTGGTTTGACCCCTTCTCCACGGACTAAGGCAATTTTCTAGGGCGCTTCTTGCTGGTAAATCCCCTCACGTCAACGACCCATCTCACTTTTTGCTACCTTTACACCAATTCTCTTCACTTCTCCTAGGATTCATTCTCAGAATATTGGTCTTCTTTTCACTTTAATCGGGACGTCCATTCCTACTGCACCATGTTAGATCTTATTTCCTCTAATGAGGTGGCATTGAAGGAAGACCCACATTCTTGGTTTCAGGGGCTCGACTACGAGGAAAGGTTAAGCCCCAGTGAGTTTCCCCCTACCGAGGCGAGGAAAAGGTGAATTGATGCTTACGCTATTTTGAGCGCAATCAACTAGAAGTAGAGGAAGTAAATATTTGGTGAGGGCAGAGCAGAGTCTTCAGGTTTTTTTTCTTTTTTGAAAATGTATGATTGTATTTTGCAGGTAACATGGAAAAGGTAGACAAGCTGAAGATGTTCTTTGATCTTGCCAATTTCCAAGGTGTAAAGACTGGCTCTTCAGGCCGGATTGTGACACCTCTTCAGATTACAGATGATGTCTCCCCCGTTGCTCTTGTCTCAACCATTGAGGCTACTGCTACTGCCTTTGGGGTCAACCAATTGGTCACCGTCGCGGATACCTTGACTGTAGGGTCCAATTTCAATGAAGAAGGTTCGGGTTGAAGATCATCATTCCTCCCAGAAAGAGGGTTCTCCAAAACGGTATCGTCTTGCTAGGGACGACACTTCAGGGGTGGTGACCCCTTCTTGCGGATGTCAGGCGTTTTGTCTTCCCCAACTTATTCGCACTCTTGAGGAGGCCGTTGTTTTTGTCTCGACGTCAAATTTATTCTTTGTTCAAAATCTCTCTGAAACAAAGCAACGATAACTCTTTTTCGAAACCAATTTTAATATATACCAGACATCCTCTCTCAGTCTTATTTTATTGCTACTAGCATGGAGATGTCTTGGCTCTGCAATCCCTCCACAAAAGTCCTTTCAAATTAGTTTTTGTGTTGAATCTGTCTCTTATTTTCTTTTGTGCTAAAATGTATTTACTTAGTGGCCCCATGTGATCCAAATTAGCAATAGCTTAATTCCGCTAATAAACGAATTAAATCTTCTTCATTTAGATTTCTGTGTGAATACCGTGGCTGACATTTGAAGACACTAATTACTCCAAGTAGATAAAAATGATTAAATAAACTATTAAAATTTCACTCAATTTTATTGATCA